CTTGTTTCATTTTTTCCTCTCCTCCCCTATGATCCTCTGCCTCATTTCTCAAATGCCACATATTAGTGAGATCATATGATAATTGTCTTTCTCTGATTGACTTATTTCGCTTAGCATAATACCCTCGTTCCATCCATGTTGTTGCAAATGGTAAGATTTCATTTTTTGATGGTTGCATAATATTCCATTGTATATATATACCACATCTTCTTTATCCATTCATCTGTTGATGGACTTCTGGGCTCTTTCCATAGTTTGGCTATTGTGGACATTGCTGCTATAAACATCGGGGTGCAGGTGCCCCTTCGGATCACTACATTTGTATCTTTGAGGTAAATACCCAGTAGTGCAATTGCTGGGTCGTAGGGTAACTCTATTTTCAACCTTTTGAGGAACCTCCATACTGTTTTCCAGAGTGGCTGCACCAGCTTGCCTTCCTACCAACAGTGTAGGAGGGTTCCCCTTTCTCCACATCCTCACCGACATCTGTCGTTTCCTGACTTGTTAATTTTAGCCATTCTGAATGGTGTGAGGTGGTATCTCATTGTGGTTTTGATTTGGATTTCCCTGATGCTGAGTGATGTTGAGCACTTTTTCATGTGTCTGTTGGCCATTTGTATGTGTTCTTTGCAGAAATGTCTGTTCATGTCTTCTGCCCATTTCTTGATTGGATTATTTGTTCTTTGGGTGTTGAATTTGATAAGTTCTTTATAGATTTTGGATACTAGCACCTTTTTATTTTTTTTAAGATTTTTTATTTATTTATTTGACAGAGAGAGACACAACGAGAGAGGGAACACAAGCAGGGGGAGTGGGAGAGGGAGAAGCAGGCTTCCTGAGGAGCAGGGAACCTGATGGGGGTCTCCATCCCAGGACCCTGGGATCATGACCTGAGCCGAAGGCAGACGCTAGCGACTGAGCCACCCAGGTGACCCTGGATACTAGCCCTTTGTCTGATATGTTCTAACAGTTTTTTGGTGGATTCTTTAAGGTTTACTACATATAATATTTGTCATCTACAAACATTGACAGTTTTAGTTCTTCCTTTCTGATTTGGATGCTCTTTATTTCTTTTTCTTGCCTATTTGTTCTGGCTAGGACTTCCAGTACTATGCTGAATAAAAGTAATGAGAGTGGACATCTTTTTCTTCTTCCTGATCTTATTGGAAAAGCTTTCAGCTGTTCACCATTGAGAATGATTTTAGGTGTGGGTTTGTCACCTGTGGCTTTTATTATGTTGTGATATGCATTTATATCCAAATTTTTGAGAGTTTTTATCATGAAAAGATGTTGAATTTTGTCAAATGCTTTTTCTGCACCTTTTAAGATGATTGTATGATTTTTCTTCCTCATTTTCTTAATGTGATATATCACATTAATTGATTTGCTTGTAATGAACCATCCTTGCATCCCGGGAATAAATCCCACTTGATCATGATGTATATTCCTTTTAATGTACTGTTGAATTTGTTTGCTAATATTTTGTTGAGGATTTTTGCATCTATGTTCATCAAGGATATTCATTTATAATTTTCTCTTCTTGTAATATCCTTATCTGCTTTTGGTATCAGGGTATGCTGACCTTGTAAAATATACAGTGTTTCCTTATTGATTTTCCTTATTTGATTTTTTTGATTTTCTGTCTAGATGATCTATCCATTATTGAAGGTGGAGTATTGAAGTCCCCTACTATTATTGTATTGCTGTCTATTTTTCCCTTCAGATCTATCAATATCTGCTTTACATATTTAGTTGCTTTGATATTTGGTACATATTTATAATTCTTTTATCCTTTTGATAAATTGATCTATCATTATAAAATGAACTTTGTTTCTTGTTATAGTTTTGGCTTAAAGTCTGTGTATTTGATATAAGTATAGCTACCTCTGCTTTCTTTTGGTTTTCATTTGCATGGGATATCTTTTTTTATCCCTTATTTTTAGTTCATATATGTCCTTAAAGCTGAAGTGAGCCTCTTGTGGACAGCATATTGTCGGGACTTGTTTTTTAATCCACTCAGCCACTCTGTGTCTTTGTTTGGAGAATTTAGTCCCTTTACATTTAAAGTGATTTAATAGGTATGGACTTAGTTTTGCCATTTTATTAATTGCTTTCTGGCTGTGCTGTACTTCCTTTGTTCCTTTCTTCCTCTCTTGCTCTCTTCCTTTGTGATTTGATAATTTTCTATAGTAGTATGCTTTAATTCCTTTGCCTTTTGTGTATAGACTACAGGTTTTTGCTTTGTGATTTCCATGAAACTTACATAAAACATAGTTAAAGCAGTCTGTTTTAATTGAAAATTTAACTGTAAGTACATACAAAAGCTCTGCATTTTTACATACCCCTCACCCTACATTTTGTTTTTGATGTCACAGTTTTAATCTTTTTATATTGTGTATCCACTAATAAAATATTTCTGTGTCTCTTTGACCTTAATATTAGAGTTTTAAGTGATTTACCAACCACTGTTACAATATTAGGATATTCTAACTTAATTATGTATTTACTTTTACTAGTGAGTTTTATGCTTTCATTTGTTTTCTTCTTCCTAAATAGTGTCCTTTCATTTCAGCTTGAAGAACTCCTTTAACATATCTTGTAAGGGCAGTCTAGTGATGATGAAATTCTTCAACTTGTGTTTGCCTGGAAAACTGTCTTTCTTTCAGTTCTGAAGGACCAGTTTGCTGGGTAGAAGATTCTTGGTTGGTAGTTTTTTTTTTTTTTTTCTTTTAGCACTTTGAATTATCACCCTTCTATCTTCTAGCCTGCAAGGTTTCTGCTGAAAAGTCTTATACACTTATGGGGATTCCCTTGTATGTAGCAAGTTGTTTTTCTCTTGTTATTTTTAAGGTTCTCTTTTTGTCTAACTTTTGACAATTTAATTTTAATGTGTCTTAGTTTGGCTCTCTTTCAGTTCATCTTTTTTGGCACTTTTGGGGTTTTCTGGATCTGGATGTCTGTTTCTTTCCCCAGGTAGGGGAAATTTCCAGCCATTATTTCTTTGAATAAACATTTTGCCCCTTTCTTTCACTTCTCTTTCTGGGACCCCTACAATGAATATATTGCTCTTCTCGGTGGTGTCCTCTGAGTCCCTTAAGCTATCTTCAGTCTTTTTCATTCTTTTTCTTTTTGTTCTTCTGACTGGATTAGTTCCACTGCCCTGTCTTTCAGTTCACTGATCCTTCATTCCTCTTGATCTAGTTATCTGTTGAAGTCCTCTATTGAAATTGTCAGTTCAATTATTATATTCTTAGCTCTATGATTTCTGTTTGGTATTTTTTAATATTTTATATCTCTTTGTTAAAATTCTCACTTTATTCATGCATTTTGAACTCTATATCAGATAAATCACTTACTTCCATTTCATTAAGATTGGTTCCTGGAGATTTATCTTGGTCCTTTGTTTGGAACATGTTCTCTTGTTTCTTAATTTCCCTTGACTCTCTGTGTTGCTTTCTGTGCATTAGTAAAGTAGACAGCTCTCCCAGTCTTGACAGACTGGTCTCCTGTAGGCGATGAACCTCATCAATCAGCCTGACCCAGGCTTTTGGTTGCCTCTCAGAACTTTGTGACTGCCCAAGCTGTCACAAACTGATTCCCAGTAGTTGATGGTGTGCTAAGACCCATCAATGTCCCAAAGGGGAGGATTTCAGTCAGCACCTAAATGGAGACTGATTAGAAGCTGGACCTTCAGGCAGCAGCTGGGAAAATATTTAGTCAAACCCCTTCCAGGGAGAAACTGGGAGATGAGCATTTTTGCCTGCTCCATAATGCACTGAGTCAGGGTGTATAGCCATGTGGCATGCCCCTATGCCTATTTAAAAACTTCTTCTCTGTTTGCTATAGTCCTGTGGGACTCATGAATGCAAGCCCTGTTGGCTATCAGAGTGAGGTGATGGGAGCCAGTACATTTAGTGGCCCCCGCAACAAGTGGGACACTAGAGGTGAGAAACTCCTTCCAGGGAGATATTGGCAACTTGGTTTTATTGTTAGAGTAGGTTGGAAAGAAAAGACAGAGGAAGTGCCCAATAGCTCTTTCAGGCTACAGGAAAGATCATAATCAGCACTGTTCATGCTAATTAGAAGTTGGACCCTCCGGTAGCAGCTTGTAAAGTATATAGTCAGACTCCTTCCAGGGAGACGGAGAAAAGGGCTTTTTTGTCTGCTCCCTCTGTGCTGAGTCTTGGAGAGATAGATGTGGTAAGTGCTCATGTGCCTATTACCAGCTGCTTTTTGTTTCCTATATTTCTGTGGGACTTATCAATGTAAGCCCCCTGGCTTTCAAAGCTCAGTGATTTGGGGGCCTGTTCCTTGGGTAGCAGCCATAAAAGTTTGGGCACTAGATGTATGGTCCCAATCCTTCACTACTCAGAGAGAAGCTGGGAGTTAGGGATTCCCTCCAATTGTATGGTGCTATGCAGTGGGTGAGGTTTGTAGTGAGAATGTGTCTCAGCCTTTACTGTCTTTTAGATGGGGTATTTTTTTAGTTTTCCAGTGTGTAGAAGTCACTCAGCTAGTTTCTGGATTTCTCTCAGAGAGAATTGCTCTGTGTGTAGCTGCATAGTCAGAGCACCCAGGGGAGGAGGGAAATTTAGGAACCTCCTATGTCGCCATCTTGATCTGGAGTCTATGACTGTTTTTATTATCTAAATTTCAACTACTGGAATTATTGTTTTATTCTTTCTTCAGTCTATTGTTAAAGGTTGTCAAGAAGTGTTGTCTTTTGAGCTTGAAGTTCTTATATATAATAATACAAACCACCTGGGATATTGTTATTTACTTTTTAAATAATTTTTAAGGTGAAAGAGAAAATAAAAGCTTCACTTTTAATTTAAAACCTTTTCTCAACAATTTAAATATAGACAGGGTCTGGTTTTTTTATAAATTGGATGTTAGAGATAATTTACTCTTAATTATTTATATTTCTACTTTCTAGAGAAATTGAGTCATATCAAGAATATAGAAATTGTTTCTTCTTCTCTCCATTTTACTGGTTGTAGGATGATCCATTCTCTGCCCTGGACATTCACTTGAGTGATCACCTAATGCAGGAAGGGATTTTGAAATTTCTCCAGGATGACAAAAGGACACTTGTTCTTGTGACTCACAAATTACAGTATCTAACACATGCTGACTGGGTAAGAGTTTAAAATAAATTTCATTAATTTTAATGTTATAGTCATATTAATAAATAGGGACATTAAGAAATGCTGTCTGAATAAAATAATTCATGTGGCCAGTTAAGGATTTTTGTCACAGTTATGCTAATATGTGCTTTCTTTAGATCATAGCCATGAAAGATGGAAGTGTATTAAGAGAAGGGACTTTGAAGGACATTCAAACCAAAGATGTTGAGCTTTATGAACACTGGAAAACACTTATGAATCGGCAAGATCAAGAATTAGAAAAGGTAATTGCTCATAAATCAGAAGAGTTCAGAGTTCACTTTAAAAGAGTCATGAATATACTGTATAATTATTAAAAATTTGTTTAAAGGAGTATTACCATTTAATATTTGATGATATAATGGTTCTCATTTGAAACCTAAAGTAATTATAAATTTATATGTCATTAATAAATAGGCTACTTTGGGGGCACCTGGGTAGCTCAGTAGGTTAAGTGCCTGACTTCAGCTCAGGTTGTGATCTCGAGGTCCTGAAATAGAGTCCTGCGTAAGGCTGTACGCTCAGTGGGAAGCTTGCTTTTCCCTCTCCCTCTGTCCCTCCCCCTGCTCGCGCATGCACATGCTCGTGCTTGCTCGCTCTTTCAAGTAAATAAAATCTTAAAACAATAAATAAGCTACTTTGAAACAATACAATTCTAATGATATCTTTTGGAGGAAGTGCTCTCAAGTTTTTAGGAGATTTTGATTTTAATTTGAACCATATTATAATTATATGTGTTTAAAACTTAAACTTTGCCGAAGCATGGTATATCATTATTTTATCTTAATTTTTCTTCTTTGTATCTTATTTTATTCATATATAATGTGAGGATGTTTTCACTCACCACCTATAAATACAGGGTCATGGACGAAACAAAATCTAAGATGATTTTGAAAGAAGAAAGAGCTGTGAGCTGTGGGTGAAGTTGTTAAGCATGCCTGGAATAAGGCTGGGAAGTGAAGGAAGGTGATTAGGAGGAAATAAAAATTAATTTTTACATTGATATAGTTTTTAAGTTTAAAGCCTTTTTTTACATAAGCTCATTTGATTTTCACAAACCCCCAGAAAAAAGCAAAGAAAATATGGGAAATAAGTAAAGAAAATGTGATCTCACTTTTATAGGTGAGAAAACTGAAGCCGAGAGAGGTTAAGTAACTTATAAGTTGTACAGTACATATTATAAGTGGTACTAGTTGGACTTAAATCCAGGTCCATATTCAGTGTAATTCTGGTGTAATGTTATGTATGATATAAATATAACATTGAATGAGGTGATAACGGAGTCGGAGACCAGACTGAGAGCAATGAAAGAACAACTTGTGGTTGAGAGGTGAAATTATAAATTGTATTAGTAAATTTTTTAAATGTTTGTTGACTTGAGACTAGAAAGTGTCCAGAATTTGGTACTCCTGGCCAGGACTCAACATTATAAAATGAAATTTTTGTATCAGCAAATTCCTGAGAATATCAAGAAATTAAAATGCATTATTTTTATAAAAGAATAAAAGGATCTCTGGTCCAATAGAGAGAGGAAGATAAAAAGTCAGACAGACCCTAGGATTTCTCTGTCTTCTGTGGATTTGCCAAAGACCTCAAAAGCAAACTACCTAAGGAAGAAAAGATATTTGTAAAAGTAGAAGTGAAGTAGAATGGGACACAACACAGAACCATTTAAATGAGGATATTCATCAAAAAAATTATGAGGTACCATCAGCAAGTGCCCACTTAGGAATTATACTGTGAGAAACTTGATTGGAATGGCTCCAAATGACATTTTTTACAGTGACCTAGATGCCAGGGACAAAAGAATATGACGTAAGCTTAAGGAATGGGGCCACTTATGGTTTACTTTGGAAAGAAGATTTGGAAAAAAAAGAGAGAGAGAGTTGTTGGCTTGATTTTATAGTAATACTGACTGTTAAACAAGCCAGGAAGAAAGTCCATTAAGTTGTATTTAGAAATGAAGTGATCACTTGAGATAGCATAACTCTATAATTAAAGACACATTACAGGGTTATAAATCAGCTGGCGGAGATACAGAACAAGTTAGGGTGTGGACAAAGCAAATGCAGTTGTGAGGTTGAACAGTGAGTGGCCAGTAGAAGCCAGAAGGAACCATGCACCTGTCCAGAATCCTCACCTGGGGATGCAGGGAGGTTACTGCCACCTAGGGACGGGCAAGCATTGGAGATTCATTTGAAGGCAGTGAGATTCACACTGGCGGGGGGGGTGGGGGTGGGGGGAGAAACAGTTTCTTGTTCACTTTGTTATGTGGCAGGATGGGGTGTTTGCCAAGAGCACTGGTTCTCAACCAGGGTCTTGTTTGCTTTCTAGGGGACATTTGGCCACATTTAGAAACATTTTTGGTTGTCACAGCTGGGGGGCAGGTGCCACTAGCCTCTCATGGGGAGAAGACAGCAATGCTGCTAAACATCCTACAGTGCAGCCCCCACAACAAAGAGTTATCTGACCAAAATGTCAATAGTGCCAAGGTTGAGAAAGGCTGACCTAGAGCCAGACTAGATCAAGTAAGCAGAGAAGGCTGGTGAAACAAAACATCCTGTCACTGGGCTTTAGACACAACTGTCAGTTTGAGGACTAAGGTGTCAACAAAAGAATATGTTGCAAGGATAGCAATGAAAACTACAAGAAGAAAGGGGAGATAACACTTTGAGCTGATTTAAATATTATTAAAAATTCTAGCTTGGATGACACCTTTATCTTCCTGATGTTTTTAAGCAAAATAAACTAACATCATTTGATATCTCCTGCCCCAACCCTCACCTTGATCCGATCTGTAACAGGCACTCAAGAAATACTTATTAGATAAATGAAACAAAATTCACATTTACTTAAGCCAAATATCCATGTAATTTAAAATATTTAACCTGTAATGAGCTTAATATGAGCATTTACTTGTAAGAAAAATGAATAAAGATTTTTTTAAGTATCTGAGATGTTCCATCTTTTGCTCACATAGCAGGGAGAGTTGAACAAGAACCAAATCTGCTGTTTTCCAATGTGCAGGGTCATTTCATTTTATTACCCTAAATGCAAAGGATCGAGTCAGCTTTAATTTTGTATTTAATTTTACATACGAGCTTTAGTTTTCATATCATTAGACAAAATTAAAAGCTGATATGAAATTGTCTCTGAAAAAAATGCTATTCAAGAGACACTTTAGTTTTCATTCTTTTTAAACCAAGAATCTGGAAGCAATAGAGCCTTCTAGCAAATCTCCCAAATCACACATGTTGTATAAGGCCAAAACGAAACAACAACACGATCACTACCTAGAGACTGATCACTAAGGGTTTATTTGTTTATTGATATAACAGTCAAACAGTGATATGTGTGTGTGTGTGTGTGTGTGAGAGAGAGAGAGAGAGAGAGAGAGAGAGAATATACAGAAAGCCCTCAATTTACCATGGATTCCAAAAGTTTGTGGGTCAGTTGTTTGGAACTCAGAATGCATTTCCCCATAGAAACAAGGCTATGGTTAGTTTCCCAAACTGTCCTGCAGCAGCGGATTTAACCCACAATGTGTCAGAACTGATACTACCACTCCAGTTCTGAAGCCAAGGGAACTAGGGTATTGGAAGCAGAGGAATGGAGAAAATGAAATCCTGCTCCCTGTCTTGAGCGCACAACCCTGACAAGTTCACAGTTTGTTTGGGGCACGTTTCCCTTCTCCTTCTGCATATTTCCCCCTCTTAGGGCTTTCTCTTAAGCTGCTAGGCACCTAAGTACCCTCATTTTTCATTTGCTTCAAAATTACCTACCTTCCTTCATTGCCTATTGAAGTCCATTTCTTTTATGCAGCTACCCTAGTGAGATGCTAAGGAAACTCACTCTGATTTAGTAATTTATAATAAGAGGGGATGAGTGATGGAGCTCTACCCAGTCTAGAACTGCATGCATTGTTGAAGGAAATTATTTATTAACATGGTTAAATCTTTAGTTAGAGAATTACAAGGAGTATCTGAAAGTGATGTCAAGATAAAATAAGTAGCAGTGGTAAAATTATGTTTTAAGACTGGAGGAGGTGTCCCTGCTCCTGGAGTTGGCGCCATTGTGTTGTTGCTACTTGCCCTGGCTTCTTACTGCCCAACACTTCGGAGCTCTGAAGCCTTACAAACCTCAGACGTTGCCTCACAATTACTCCTACAACAGGAGTTGTTGATCTCTAGAGAGAGCAGAGAGCTCAAGACTGGTATAGATAACTAACGATTGATATGTGTGAGTCACTGATGGGTAAGTCAAAACCTTCCTAGGGCTGTGAGCTCCTGAATGATGATGTCATGGTGTTTACTGTAGGATATGGAAGCTGACCAAACAACTTTGGAGAGGAAAACCCTGCGAAGAGCCATGTATTCGAGAGAGGCCAAAGCCCAAATGGAGGATGAAGATGAAGGTAGATCTTTTTCTTATATCTGAAACATTCAAGTGGGACGTGACTGCTTTACCTTGGCTACTGATGCACAAGTATGTCTGTGAAGAATAAAAAGCCACTTTGCAGGGAGAAAAGAGCTAAGCCAAATATGTAATACTGAAAATGAAAAGAATAGGAGCAAAGAAAAGGTGTATGTAATCCATCAACAGGCATCGTGAGCGGTTTCTAAGTGTGTCTTAGTGTATTTGTGCTGTGCGAGAGAGAGGGCTGAGAGGAAAAGGCCCTGTTTCGTAAATAACTCTAGACCCTTGTTCATATAAATTGGAAAGTCTAGTAGAATGACCAAATCAAGTTATTAATAAAATGTCAGTCCTTCAGAAATAAGCAATAAATGGGGAATATGAAGAAAATACTGTTTTGAAATATTTATACTTGAATCATTCAGTAAGTCCTCAGGGAATTTTCATGACAATACAGCAACAAAGAATAAGAGAATTCCACGAAAGCCATTTGTTATGCTTCAGTTTTCTGGATCTAATAAGGTACAGTAGAGAAAAAAGGATTTCCTGGAAAATAGAGGAATAAGATGAAATAATTACATTGCCTTGACATTTGTTGCCAAGAAGTTTGTAAGATAAATCTCATTTAAGTCCATAGGGTAAATGCACTATACTTCATGTTTCTTATACAGTTTTTGCTTAAGACTGCATTTCTACAAGCCAATTAAGAAAGAGAGAAAATTGTAATTTCAAGGCAAAGAATACCAAAATATGCTACCTTTATATTTCAGATAAGTATTCAGTACTTCAATAAATACTCATTGAGAGAGTGAATGAATGAACAAATGAATGAATAGATTTTGCACTTCAATTCCTTAGATTTAAAAATATTTTTTAAAATGTCTGGTGCTATAAACAGACATCAGTTTCTAGAATTTAAAACCAGTTATTTCTCATGCACTCTAAAAGTGGAGTCATGCCCAGTTACTCTCTCCAGTGTTCCAGTGGTTTGTATATGGCTGGATACTCTACCCTGGGCTTGTTGTGTTAATCCATTCTCTCGGGCATAAAATAAGGTAGTACTATTTTCTTACAGAATAAAATGATGTAATGCATATTAAAGAGCACGATATGCTATGTATTTCCCACTAGGTTGTTATTCCTGGTCCTGGTCCTGGTCATTATGTCTGTTTCTAGCCACCAGGAAGGGAAGAAGGGAAGTAGTTGCACATATTGTTCCTAACTCCTTGCCATTGGCTACTTCAATACATGGACAGATTAGGTACTGGGAAAAGGATGAAATCTTGTATTTAGCTGGGCAGCCATAGGCCAGTTGAAATTTCAATTAATATGGAAACAGAGAATGGATGTTGGGGAGACAGCTAATAGTCTGCAAGTGTCTAGCACTTTCACCATGCAGATTTCTAATCCTGTCCTCACACATTGACCCCACACTTACCAAAGGACATATTATCTGAGACCTGTTCATTTGCTGCATCCAGTTCGAAATACTAGGATCTTTGGTGATGCTCATTCTTCTCATAGTGTCCATATTTAGATCTCTGTGGTCTGATAACCTGTAAACCAAAGTTATCTATCTTTGCTACCCACAACCTACTCAATATAGAGTAGTGGAGTATGTAACAGGATAACTGCAATGAAAATGGTCTTTGGAAAAGGAAAGGATGGGAAATGCACAACATTCACCAGACCACACAAATAATCAAATTTTGCCAGTGAGGAAATGCTGAAATTCCATCTTCATTATAGAGTATGTTCTTAGGATAACCATCTTGGAGTTTCCAGATGGTTTAAACATCTGAGAGAAACTCCCTGACTCTTGTCCTCTGTCCTCTGCTTTTGCTGTCTGGAAGGTTTCTTCTTGCTCATGCTCCTCCATGACCACATCTAAAATGGACCATAGAGAGCATAGATTATGCCTTCTTGGGCAATCCACAAACTTCAGAGTCTATTTCCTTCTGGTGAAGTTTTACAAATACAAAAATTTAGAGTTCAAAAAATTGTAAGTGTCTAAAGGCCAGACCTGTGGTTTTATTGGCAACACAGTTCTTTCGATAACTTTGTAAACTTCTAGTCTATACTTCCTGCCAATTTGATGTGTAATAAATTGGCAAATTATCTCATCCAGACATAGATGTTGCTTATTGTTTTGCTCATTCATTCATTCATTCATTCATTTTTCACCAATTTTTTAAATGAGGTTCTTCCCGGCTAAAAGCATTTAAAATTTCTAAGACTAACACTTGTATTTCTATAAATCTGAGGGAGATTTTTATATGCTTTTTTGTGAGATAATATGAATTTTATCTACTTGTTGATGAGGAAAGCTTAAACTAATATTTTACATGCAGAGGAAGAAGAGGAGGAAGATGAGGATGATAATATGTCCACTGTAATGAGGCTCAGGACTAAAATGCCATGGAAAACCTGCTGGCGGTACCTTACTTCTGGAGGATTCTTCTTGCTCTTCCTGATGATTTTCTCTAAGCTTTTGAAACATTCAGTCATTGTGGCCATAGACTACTGGCTAGCCACATGGACTTCAGAGTACAGTATAAGCAATTCTGGAAAAGCTGATCAGGTATAGTGAATTCTGTTTTTAAATCATCAAGGATAAAATGTTGAGAGTAACATGATACTCTTTTGTTTAGTTTGATATTAATAGCCCAAATGTCATAGGACTTTTGTAATGATTCAGTAAGTTAATTAAAATAGGACCTGAAATGGAATGGCATGTCAAAATGGAATCTATTAGGATCATTTTTGTGTTTTAAAGCTTATCATAAGAAACATTTAAAGATAATGTTTGGATTTGGATTCAAGAGAGGTATATGCACATGATGTGTGTGTGTGTGTGTGTAACATATACACGGGACTTTTGTGTTATTGTTTTAATGGTATTGATTTTAACTACTGATGCCAATGTATTAGCTGGTTAATCTGAGATTGGGGATAGGAAGGATGAGCTCTACAGTGTAGAAAGCCAAGAATATTTCAAACCTGAAAACAGACTTTAATGCTTCATCTGCCTTTAGGCAAACCTTGGAAGAGAGTGAAGGAAACAAGGAGGGACATGGTGGGGGTACTGTCTTTAGTCTCCAAAAACTGCACTCCTTCAACTGTCTAAATTGATACAAGATAATGAAGTTGAAAATATTGTCTGACTTTGATATTTTGTGTTCTGATAATGACTGGTAATGTCATATGTGGGTTTTTTGGTGTCGGTTGCTTTTTAGACCTACTATGTGGCTGGATTTAGCATACTTTGTGGAGCAGGTATTTTTCTCTGCCTTGTTACATCTCTCACTGTAGAATGGATGGGTCTCACAGCTGCCAAAAACCTTCACCACAACCTCCTCAATAAGATAATTCTTGGACCAATAAGGTAAAAATGTAATCATTTCTTATTCCCCTACACAAAATCATAAAAACATACATCTTTAAATTTAAGTGAAATGTGGAATTTTAGAGAGTGTATTTGGTCTTTTAGCAAATAAACAGGAACCTTCTCATTTTCCCGACTCTAAGATGTCCATTAGCAGTGCTCAGGTTCCAGACAGTTTACTATTATCATACATTCCAATCTGTTTATTTCCTAGATTCTTTGATACCACCCCCCTGGGACTGATTCTCAATCGCTTCTCAGCTGATACAAATATCATTGATCAGGTGAGTGCCTGAGATACTTCCAAGTTCAGAAACAATTTTTTCAGTATAAACTAGATAACATTTAAGATAAAACATGATTCCTGTTAACAATAGAGGATGTCTAAAACTTAAAGCCTATAGGCACACTTATCAATATTATATTCATAACAGATTTATAGAGTAAAAACTTAAAGGAAAACCTTAATTTGAAATAATTTGTGCATGTAGAAGAGGATACTTAGAGAATGAGCATGAAATAAAGGGAAATGGTAAAGAATAAACTAACATTTAATTTTTTTATTATAAAAAGGAATCATTTTGATCAATGTTGTCTCTCCATTCACAGCAAAATTCTTAAAAGTTTAGTATTGATGCAGAGTGTCTCTCAGAAGCAAAGGATGGAATGCCAAGCTGTCTTAGATGTCCTTTACTTCAACTAGACTGGCTCTTTAATAAGAAAAGTTTCAGATGGTGTGATATTTTAGAGAATATTCCAAGGATGCCCAGTTTAGTTTTAGATCCCTCTGCCCTTCTAGAAGTTTGTCCTACAATTAAAGTCCTCAAACTCTAAAATTGGATCACTCCAAGAACATACCCCTTAAGATAATGGACAAAAGAATCCATCAAATCCAGCACTTGTCTTTTCTGACTTTTCAGAGTTACCTTCAGAATACCTAAATTACCCTCAGTTTAGGAAAAGAATGCTTGATGCATGCAGCTGACTAAAAAGTATACTGAAAAATTTGATGTTTTCTTTGGTGGTTAGTCACACTGCATCTAAAACACTTCATAAGGAATACATATGGAAAAAGAAGAGACAAAACCGTCCTTATTTGGAAGATGATATGATTGCCACCTAGAGAGTCCAAGAAAATTAGTACAATAAAAACCAGCTAGAAAGTTCAGAAGAGTATCTGCATAAGGTATATGACATAAAATTCAATAACTTTCTCTACACCAATTAAAAAATTAAGTGAAAAATAAATTCTATTCATAATAATAACAAAAACAAAAATAGAGAGAAACCTAAAAGAAGAAAAGAGATCCAACAATCCTAGAAATCAAAAAATCCTGTATATATAGAGAATTCCCCTATCAGATATCCAGAAACCATTATAAAAATAAAATACTCTGGTGATCACAGAAAACAAGCAGATCAAAAGAAAAAAATGGAGAACTCAGAAACACCAGCATATGGAGGGATTTAACACAGGATAAGTGTGGTATCTGGAATCAGTTAAAAAAAGGATTATTTTTTTCAATAAAGGATGTTGGACAATTAGCTATCCATAAAATACAAAGCAAATACATATGGAATAAAGATAGCCATATAAAAACATAAAACTATAAAATAAAATGTGGGAGAGTAGTTTTAGAATTTTGGGGTGGGAATTAAGTAAGACACAAAACTCTGAATAAAGAGAAAAGCCAAAGGAAATGACTATATAAAATCTTAAACTTCTTTTGAGCTAAAAGCATCAAAGACAAATTTAAAATGTAATAGATTAACTGGGAGAAAATCTGGCAACATATGTAAAGCAAGAGGAAAACATCCATAATCTGTAAAGAGCATCTAAAAATCAACAAGGAAGATAAATAATCCAGTCAAAAATATGAGCAAGCAAGATACAGAAAATTAATGTAAATGTCTTACAGAAGAGGAATAGCTAACTATGTTTTTAATAATATGCTGTGTTTTTAATAATATCCATTAAAAAGAGAGAGAGATTTGTATATGGTAACATGGGAAGGTTTATAGTCTATCTTGTTAAGTAAAATAAATCAAGAACACATGGACAAATAAGATTTATAGTATAGTACCATTTCCATAAAATCCCCAAGATAAACAGACCGACAGACTGACCAATGATAAGTAGATAGGTAGATAGATGGGTAAAAATACTGAACTAAGGGAAGTAAACGAAGTTGAAGGAGTGAAGACTTGCTTACAATGAAAATGTTCATATACTACTTTTGTAACTAATTATATAACTTAACATTAATATAAAGTGAATATTTTATTCCATTGTAATGAATATTTTCTTTGAGCTAAAATATTTTCCTTTCAAACTACCTTCTTAATAGCACATCCCTCCAACTTTGGAATCTCTAACTCGCTCAACACTGCTCTGCCTGTCCGCCATTGGCATGATTTCTTATGCCACCCCTGTGTTCCTGGTTGCTCTTGTGCCTCTCGGGGTCGCCTTTTATTTTATCCAGAAATACTTTCGAGTGGCTTCTAAGTAAGTAAAACAAAGTTCTATTCATTTTCAAAAGCCTATATATTTGATTTGCTGTGATTCAGATTTGCTGTAGTGTTTTTCAAGATTAGGTACGGAATTTGGAAATGCAACCTATTTTTAACATGATAAAACCTGTGTTATATTTCATTTGGAGATCTATTATAATTGTTTCTGTTATTGGTTGTTTAAGCCCTGGACATAGATTAACATGTGGATTAACATGTTGAGTTTTGAGTCCACAAACTATGCCAAATTTTTCATTCTGTTGTCCTTTTTCTGAACATGACATTGACAGAAAACTTGTAAAACCAAACACAGTTCCAAAGGGTAAGTGACTTCATATTGTTCTATTCCACAAATGGGGAGAAAAGATAAAATATTGTAAAATGCTAAAATGCCTTCTGTAAAAATCTAGGAGAATTTAAAAAGGTTAAAAATTTAAGCCAGAGTGATGACAATAACGTAGATAATCTTGAAATGTCTGATAGAAAAGCTGTAACTCCAAGAGATTGGAACTTTCCAGATTGGATCATTTAACACGTACTTGAGTACCCAGCCAAATATAAATAAAGGAAGCCATGAATCTTACATTCTTTTATTAACATAAGATTTATCATTTGCTAGATGTACTGTAGTTAAATGAAATGTAGTACAGTTGTTTTAAATTTCCAGTTTAGCTTTGAAGGCTTTCTATATATATTACAGTGAATTTTATATCATTGCAATAATCATCTTATTGCAACAAACACTCAGTAAGCATTCTGTGTTGAAAATAATTGTGTAAGCCATGTGGCAGCTGAAGAGATCCACCTGACAAGAACCTATTCTCAAGAAACTTAATCTCTGGGGAAAATAAAACATAGATAAGGTAATCCTTGTATGTGGATTAAGTGCTGGAATAAGAAGGTAAATACTGAGTTTATTCAGTAAAATGAGAATACTTAATAGGACTTGAGTGCAAGGAAGATGATGAAAAATTGGGGAAGGTAATAAGAAAAGCCAAGACTCTAGTTGGGATCCTCTCAATATATCATATAACATTTTTTAATTTAAAAACATGTGGTTGTTTCTCCATTTCAGCTATGATTTAAGGTCCTTCAAATGTTAGAGATCTGTACTAAATCTAGAATGTTTTTTCATTCCCAACCTCATCCATTTTTCTTGTAGCAAACTCAGACCAAAAGGAAGAAGTTAGTCATGAGTTCACTCTTTCATTTCTTCTAGTACTATTGCTAATGCTGCTTGCTGGAGGGGCAAGACATTCAGTTAATCCATTTCTGTTGTTTCTAAATCTATCCTTGTCTTGTTACCATTAAATATTACAGTCATGTCTTACTTCAGTCATGTACCAATTTGGGCCTATTTTTGCCCCTTTGCAATACAAATTGAGTGCAAAGACCCGGCAAATATTCCTAGTCCGTTATAAATTGGAATTGCAAATAATCAAATAAATAAATAAATAATAGGAATTGTGAATTTTGTTCATTATAAGAAAGAACAATCTGTTATTAGCATTGGTAGTGACTAAAATACGAAGATGATCCTTTTTAGAAGAGATTTATTTATTTATTTTAGAGAGAGAATGAGTGGAAGGGGCAGAGGGAGAGAGAATCTCAAGCCAGCTCTGTGCTCAGTGCAGAGCCCCACGTGAGGCTCGATCTTGGGACCCTGAGATCAGGACCTGAGCTGAAACCAAGCGTCAGATGCTTAACCGACTGCGCCACCCAGGCACCACATGGAGGAGATGATCACTTTTGAAGAATTAACACTGATAATGGATTATCAACCATTCTTATTTGAAATTTTTTGAAAGTGAGCAAATATGACCACATGACATTAAATTTCACAGACAAAAAAACCTTTCTAGGGGCACCTGGGTGGCTCAGTCGGTTAAGCATCTGCCTTCGGCTTAGGTCATAATCCCAGGGTCCTGGGATCGAGCTCCGCATAGGGCTCCCTGCTCAGCAGGGAGTCTGCTCCTCCTTTTCCCTCTGCCTGCAGCTCTGCCTATTTGTGCTCTCTCTCTGTGTCAAGTAAATAAATAAATAATCTTTAAAAAAGAACAAAAGCCTTTCTAGATGCTGAGGCTCTGCAGGACTCACTCATATTGAAAAGCTCAGGCAACTTAACAGACGTAAACACCCAAAGGAATGAAAGTGGGAGACAGGAAATGCCATTGAATTTGGAATCTCTGAAATCAAAGACCTAATGTGTGGTTAGCTCTGTAAGGAAGTGTTTCCTACTTATAAGAATACAAGGTCAAGCTATACACTCACCTTTTTGGTTTCACAAAGTATAGTCCTATAAACAAAGGCTTCTCCTTCCTAATTTTTTCCCTTCATTACAAACCTCAAATGTAGTGACCACCTGATACTTGTGTCAAATTGACAAATAGCCACTTAATTTTATGTTTAAAGTAGCAAACTACTCACATTCCTTCATATTCATTTTCCTCCTCCCCTCTTTCTTTCCCTTCCCTCTTTCTTTCTGTCTCCTCATCTGTAGTTTCTAAAGTGGACAAACCCATTGTAGAAACTCAAAAGAGATTTGCATTTGTTTGTGGCACTACACAGGCCACCCAGAATGGCCCAAGTTAATTGTTGAAGATTATGTAACAGTATAATTCAGTTGACTCTGGAAGGTGAATGTTGATGCTGCAACTCTAAATCCTCAACCCCAAAAACCTAAAAAAATGGCAGAAAAAAAAGACTGAAAAGAAAAAAGAGGGATGTTTTGAAACATATGGTATAACTCTTAGTCTATCTTCTAGAAATGCAGGCTTATGTGGTTTAAGGAAACGTTTTCATCAGTAGTGTGCATCTTTATCAAAAGGATGATTCAGGGGTTTGTCCACCAAACATTCACTGGATATCGTATATATGTAGTTTCTTGGAGGACCTATGAAAAAAAGTTCCATGAAGCATGGAGGCAAGGATTCAAACTCATTGTGGCCAAGGGCAAACTCATTGTCTTTTTCTTCAAATTCCTTTATTCTATGGCCCCCATCCTGGTAAATAATATGGTCATTTGTCAAGACTGCTAAGCTAGAAACAGCAAAGCCATATTTGACTCTTCTCTCTTACTCACCCTGCTACAATTCATTGATTGTTGCAGTTTAGAAGCCTACTTTTGGAAGACTATCTCACAATCCTTCCCTTGTTTTAAATCTCACTAGCATCCCAGTAATTCAGAGCTTTAAAAAAATCTCTGATGTAGACTATCTTAACTCACTTACTCTTTTTCATCCTTTATAGCCTCCCAAGTCATGTTGCTTAAGCATAGCCTGATCATTTTATTTCTAGTCTTCAGTGATTTTGTCCAAGCCACCCAGGATCCTCCACCACCTAGTCCCATCTCTCCTTTATACAGCCATTCCCCACTTCGGCACTCACAAAGGATTCTTAGCACCAGCCAGACTGAACCTGCCAGGTTCTTTAGTCTGCGGTGTTTGCTCTTGTTCTCATAGCTGGAATGCACTTCTTCTTGTCTGTTTTATTGAAGCCCTCCTCAAAGCTTAACATTTGGCCTAAATTCCACCTCCTCAAAAAAAAAAATATTATCCATCTCCTAGGTATGAGTTAAATATCCATCCCTTTGTGTCCCCATAGCAGTTTACTATAGTTGTTATACAAAGCAAGTAGTTTTGTATATTTGGCCTGGACCAAAATTCATTATGTACTCATCTTTCTCTTCCTCTTTAGATTATAAACTCTTTGAGGTTTTTGTTAACTGGGTTCTAGAAGAAATTAGTTGCAATGACAAGTAAAAACCCTAATTTAGGATGAACACAGTAGCCTCTGAACCTGAAGGCATATGAAGTTAATTTTGTACTTCTCTCTGTTCTAGGGATCTCCAGGAACTTGATGATAGTACCCAGCTCCCTCTGCTTTGCCACTTCTCAGAAACAGCTGAAGGACTCACCACCATTCGGGCATTTAGGTAAGCACACATATTTTCATTTTGCTGATTAAGCAATTACATCATCAACAGATCTATCTGCAAATAACTGATAATTGCTACCATTCTTTGGATGCCCACTGTGTGGGCATGGCAGTGTTCTAAACTAGAAGAGAGAAAAATATGGCAATAAATGTTCGGAGTTAGTCTAATCCTCTGAAATTTTAACAAGAATAAAGAAAGAATGAAACACCATATTGGGAAGATACTAGCTGTGTAATATAGACCAGGCTTGTCAATTTCCTTATCTGTGAAATGGAGAATCAACTTTGCTTCTTAAGGTCATTGGACTAATTGACAAATGCATGGGAAGCACTAACCATGGTGATTAGCAAAGAAGCACCCAATAAACAAATTAAAATAAGTATATTAATAATAATAACAAAAGAAACACTACTAAAAATAAAATAAGATAAAAACTACTATATCAAGTTATTTTAGGATTTAATCAGTTTTCTTCAGTTATTACTGGTTAACAGTAAGAACCCAAGCTTTTGATCAAGAGCATTTGCTTAACACTCAGAAAATTATCTGGCCCCTATTTTCCCTGTTCAAGTAAACTCAGAAGAGAAGGTGGCCCCAATGAATATTTCATTTAATCTTAAAAATTGACATCTTAAAGTATGTCTTCTTGGAACCCTAAATGCAAATATGTAGCGATTTCAATTAGAGCTTTTTCTAACCTAAGAAATATTTATATTATTATATATATAAACTTGAATCAAAAAGTAGAATATAGAGATATAACCACCCACAATATGTATCACGGAATTTCTACATAAATCTACATAGACTTCATCATGAAGATTCACACTTTCTGCAGTGGTGTGTTTTCCCATCAGAGTGCCTCTTATTGGAGATGGCAAAGCTACTTATTGATATTGAATGATAATATTAAGACCAAATTTGTATCCTGATAGAAGCCAGCAATGACCAGTGGTACTCCTAAGTCTATCATATTAAATATTACATTTTTCACCAAATAAGTCCTTTCAAGTTAATCTATTTGAGTATTGAACATATGATAGGTACTACTCTTGATGTGGATATTTAAAGATTACAAAGACATGGCCTTCCACTTCCATCCCAGATAAATACCACAAAGAAAATAGATAGGATAACATGACAGGTGGGGGGCAAGAAGTGACTGGATTCAGGCAAGCTGGTCAATGGAACAGTAGGACGTTAATGAGTTCAACATATAACAGCCTCTGCTCTGTTTTCTCCCTGAACAAGGTGAGGTTATTTTCTAAGAGTGATGAGGACTAGAATCAGGTAAATCGTCTTGAAGGAAATAACAACTTAGAATGACAGAGGAACTTGACCACAAGTCAAGGTTTAGGCTTTTCTTTTACCTTCTTCGCTAGACACATGGACAGAATTTAGCATGACTATTCCTAATTTTACATGAGGAAAAGTCTAGGTAGTTGTAAGAAGAACAAAATACTATGTGTTAAACCTTCAAGGCTTGAATTATGATTGGAAGAAACAAAAGACAACCCAACTTTTTATGGAAAAGTATCTGTGTCATATTCATTCAGATTTACATCTTCCAACATTCATTTCTAAAGTAAATATTAAGTACCATAAATATCAGCATTTTTAAACCAAAGGAAGTTTTAAAATGTGGGACAGTCCTGCTGTCATGAATAAAATTCTAGGGTCTTTACATTTGGTGCTTTTGGTCAAGAATCAAACATGTTCTTTCCATCCATTTCTTCCTTTCTTTCAGGCTACCCAGAGTCCCCAGAGTCTTCAGCTCTTTTGGAAAGTTAGTATTTACTGATTAGACTGCTTTTCCTCCCCGGCATTCAGGGTTCGTGGTGTACTCACATGTGGCAGTGAACTCCCTCAAGTAGTTTACCACGAAAGTATCACAGTTAAATTAGACTGAGATTTCAGTGACCTTTCCTATTTTTTTTTTTTTTGGACCAATAGAATAAAGGTCTAAGAATGTTCAGAAGATGAGCTGGATGTGGATGAAAAGATACAGACTGAGTGTGTCAAAGTTTCCATTAGGAAAACAGAAGGTTTCTTGCCAAATAGAAACACACAGAAAGAATGTTCACTGCATTTCCACCCCTCCCCTCTCGCTGCTGCTTCAGACCATTGCCAATTCCATTTACAAACTCTTTAAGAGTGCATCTGAAACAATATCCCAAAACTAAATGAAGAGTAAGAAGCGTCCCAGACCAAGCACTTTGTCAGAATAAAGTGTTTGATGTTTATCCCAAATGTAGTCCAGTGGCTTTTGTCCAATGGGCCCCACCTCCGATCTCCCCATTACCACTGTCCTCTAGGGAGAGAACCTTGTCCTGAGCCCCTGAACGTGATGAGTTTTCTCATTTCTGTGCCTTTGCTCATGTTGTTCCTACTGCTTCCAATGCTTTGTCCTCCCTTGTTCACCTGAAGAATTCAGCTCATCCTTTAAAACCTCACTCGGATCATCCTCCCCGTCCTCGGTGAAACTTTGCTTAATCCTCCTTCTCTCCCCATCCTCCACCTCATTCCGTGTGCAAATCACCCCCTTCCTTTATATTCAAGTAGCATTTTGTGCACAGGGCCATTAAAACCAGCTTCTGTGTTTCACGGTCCTTGCTTGTTAACACCATGTTTACCTCCTTCCCTAAAGACTGGTCTCCTCAAGGGCAGAGGTTACGTATTGTATATATATATATATATATATATATGTATATATACGTGTATATATACATATATATATAGTCTTGTGTAGAGTTGGTGCTTGCTAAATGTTTCTGAATGAATGGCCGAAAATCTCCCTAACACTGCAAATACAGAAAGGTGGTTCCTTACGTGGATATTATCTTATTACAGTTCATATCCACTATTACAGAAAATCCTCTAATCCTGTGGGCCATCCTCCCTTTTCCTTATTCACTCTCTTCCTCTCTAAAGGGGCCATCCCAGGACAAGGTAGCCATGTTCCCGGGACTGCTCAGCCCCACTCGAGTGTGTTGCTCTTCAGTGTAGGTCCTCCTGTACATGGCATTTAGGTCAAGTCTGCAAACTCATAATTCAAAGTGAGGTAATTATTTGGCACCGATTGCCAAATCCTTTGATTATTGTAGATCAGATGTTGTCTGACGCAGTTATCTGATTTATCTGGTTTGGAGTATTGGAATGATCAGATGGACTGGACAGATACCAAGTATCTGCTCTATATTGGCCTGTATGGATGGCTTCGTGGGCCAAGTGAACGCCCCACCCAGGACTTCTTCGTGCATTTGACATAGTGATGGTTTAATATAAGGTTTTGCAAATTGATTTGAAGATTTGGTGACACTTGGGGCAGTCTTTTATCAAACAGGAATCACTGCTGGGCTGTCAAATGAAACTTGGTTATTCCTTAGGAATGTAACACACAGATAAGTGGTCCATATAAGAACAGTCACAGCCACGGAGAGTGAATAGACCACATTCTGATTTGGCATTTCTTCCAACCTTCCAACCAGTTATTTTGATTATATTATCCAGCTTTCCGTTGTTTCTGCTATTCAGGGAAAATAACTGAAAAACGAAAAGAGACTATTTTTGTTATTTAGAAAGATTTATCACCATGGAGCATAACTTCTGTAAGAAAGTAGCTCACATGTTCAGATGGATAAGATTCTTATTAGAAGTTTCATTTATAACATGGATTACCCAGAATGGGCAATGGGTCTGATGATGTTGATTTCCAAGAATGAACTTAATTTAGCCAGGGATCGATATCTAAACTGTATTTGTCATAAAATCCTGTAAGTACCATAGACTGAGGGTTCCTTTCGTGCAGTGACCATCCTTATAAATATTTTAGAACCTTGAGCATAAGATTTCTCATCTAACAAGAACATCTGCCGCCTCCAAGGACCCCCATCCTCTACTTCTTTCCACTCAATTTCCTTCTTTGGTTCCCAGAAACACCGGCAGAAGGAGACATTTAAAAGTATATATTTGCCTGTAACACATGCATCATTTCCTGTCTTCCCTGGTCCTCATCCAGCACCTCCCACCCACCTCTAACTGTGTTATTTGGAAAAGTAAAAAGTGCAATAAAATGTAGGTAGAGCATATTGCATTTCTGTACAACTTACTCTGGTTTTTGTAAGGCCCTTGCAACATAGGCCATGCCTTGTTTTTGTGGCTACAAAATTATGTGGAAATTTATGAAGCGATCCTTAATAGGAATTTGTCATCAGAAAGCTTCCTTTTCATAGCAGGGGTCTGAGAAAGGAAGAAACCCCGGACCACACCCTCTCCAATAAGCGTGCAGCAAAGCAGTAGCAGCTGGCCTTTATTTTGAAGTAGGAGTCCATTTACTAGTCATTCCATCCCATCCGTTTGTCACTGTGTTGAGTAAATAGTGTAGTAGTAAGTGTGACTGTTTCTTATTATTTTTCCTGTTGTGTGGCTAGCATGATAATATTTTTGTTCTCTCCAGGCATGAAACCAGATTTAAGCAACGTATGCTGGAGCTGACGGACACAAACAACATTGCCTACTTATTTCTCTCAGCAGCCAACAGATGGCTGGAGGTCAGAACGGTACGTTCATTTCATGATTTCGAAATGGAAACTAAACTGATGCAAAGGCTGATGCAAAGAGGGAGACAGTTGTAAAAATTAGTCTTGCACCGAGATTCACACTAACTTCACTTTTTCCGGACGTTAAAATAGCTCAGGTTTGTTTATGTTACAGGTGAAATTTGTCATAATGTTTTAGCTAATGACAAAACAAATACCCCAAAAAGCAAAAATTCATTTTGTGTTCATTAGTCTCTAGATTACGTAAGTTAATGGAATGGCAAATGTTTGTATAACTTAATTTTTTTTCAAAAGAGCAAATTTGACAAGTGAACAGATGTACTCGTTTCCTTCACTGAGCAGGACAGGCCTGGAAGAGCTGGTGACTTTCTATGTTTTAAGCCAGTGGAGGATCACGTTAGCACAAAACATAAAAAAATGCCAATTAATCATCTGTTGCCTTCTTCTGTCCCTTATAAAGGAGGATGCTTTGGCATCATACAGACTTGATCTAGCAAGTTAATTAATTTGAGTCTGTTCCTCATCTGTAAAATAGGAATAAGAATATGTACTTCATGGGGTTGTTAGGATGAAAAATAATAATATAAGTCCCCTATCCCCTAGTTCACTGATTCGTAGGTGCACTCAACAAATGTCTTTTGAATGAATGGATGAATAAATAAGTGAATGGAAACAGCACCTGCTGTGGTAAGTGGTTCATAAGCCAACCAGCTGGAGTATGAACCAGGAGACGGATGGGACACAAGTTCCAGGAAGGAAGGAAATGTAGTTTGCAGACCTGTCTACATAATCTGCACTATAAATAAGCTACTTTGGTGGTAATGATGAGTTGTCTGTAATCTTTTTTAAAAAAACAATTATCTATCAGGGAGCCTGCGTGGCTCAGTCTGTTAAGCACCTACCTTCAGCTCAGGTCATGATCTTGGGGTCCTGGGATGGAGCCCTGCATCAAGCTCTCTGCTCAGCGGGGAGTCTGTTTCTCCTTGTCCCTCTGCCTCCCCTCCTCACCCCTCCTCACTCTCTCTCCATCAAATAAATAAATAAAATCTTTAAAAACATAAAATAAAAAATAAAATAATTATCTATCCATTTGTCAAAAGGAAAAGGAAGTTTATCTGTACTATTATAAGGATATCACATCTACTAATTAAACATCCCTAGTATATTCAGGCTTTCAAAACTCAACAGACCAAAGAAGGCAGATAGTAAAAGGAATTTGATGAGATGGAAATGAAGGAGCCCAAGTTATATGCTGAGTTGTTGATGGATGGATACAGGTGGATATGGATTCTGTGAGCTTTACTTGTCATGATTTCCCACTGGTTTACAGAGATTCTCTTCCACTATATTGGTTATAATGTAGAAATTATTCAGTGACATAACACAATTATATTTTGCAAATTTTAGATAGAAGCATTGGCTGTTGATAAGAAATTTCTTCCAGGTAGCTATGGGGGCAGGGCAAAATGTCTCCTGAATTACCTATAGATAGCATAAAGGCGGATGAAGTGTTGCTTGGGATTTATAACAAAACTAAGACATTATTCCTAGATCCTATCCAGACCCTAATTCCTTGTTTTAAGCTTCTATTTGTTTGTTTAAATTTGTTTTCTCTAAGGAAGAAAAAAAAACCCCAATCATATCTGAAAAACAGAATTAATCATGCAGTAGCTTAGTGAAAGAATGTCCCCCAGTCATAAGAGACAATGTCAGTGGTTACATTTGTTATTTGATTTTTCTTAACCTGGACATCAAGCAGGTTTTTTTAGGGAGCAAGTGTGTTTGCTTTGGACTTGAGGTGAATGTTTGACTTGACTCCTGTTACTGCTCTTTAGCACTTCCTACTGTCAGGTTAATGGACAAGTGTTTAACAAGAATCTTCAAGCAAACCATATGTTCTGCTCTCGTAGCCAAAAGACAAGATATTAGAGCCTTCAGATTGCCAAGAAAGGGGAGGTCAGGAGAAATTAGAGAGGAAGAGTGGCCAGATTCAGAATGGCTTGGTTCAGTTTGACTCACAGCTCATTACTTTAACCCCCATGTGAAAGGCGGCGGACCAACCCAAAAGTGAAAATGTTTTAGTTCCAGCTGTAGAGACCTAAAGAAAATACTGGTGTTTGAAACAGGAAGGGCAGGTTCTGCCATCCATTCTGTTCCTTGATAATACATTTGTTAGTGTGTCTTGTGTTTGTTTGCTCTGTATTATGATCCTTCCAAGAATTCCTGTCTAGTCTCATTACCAGAGCTCTCCCTTAAAAACCAATACCAAAAAAAAGGAATATTTTGCTTCTGTTTCTGATGGGTAAAGGTAAGTTTTGGTAAGGAACTTGTTGATTTATTGCAAAATTCCAGGCATCTCTGCTGACAGAAATCAAGGTCCGAAGTCTTATATGTGTATGATTTGTCTCCTTTGCCTAATTGTGTGTGTCAGTAAGTTTATGAGGGTATGCATACACACACACACACCCCTCTAGACAATCCCAGTGATCCAACTTAAAACTAGTCAGATTCACTCTCTTTCTTTCTTTTGAGTATTTTGAGAGTGTTCATTAGAACCAGGATATTATTTAGAATGTGTGAATATAGGAGTCTTTATTCGAATATAAGTGTGTAATTCAAGAACATATACTACAGTAAGAGTATTGAATAAGTTAACTCAATAACTCCTATGAGGAAATAACCTTTCTCCCAATTGTACACATATAAATGACCTCCTCACTACTGTGATCCTGTGGACACGTCCACATCACTGGAGACACAATTTCAGTTTGAAAAAAATGGATCTTGTGTCAGGAACATGAATGTTGAGATACAGGACCTTGGAGACTAGGGTGTGAACTGTTCTCTGACCCCCACAGCTGGACATATTCTGCCTTGTAAGTCATTAGAAAAATAAGTAATGAAAACTTCTATTTGGTCCAGTGAGTCCACATTGATCTTACTTACCCACAGTATCAACACAACCTCTCCTTTCTCTATTCTTTGCCAGATTCCTCAGTTAGCAAAAATATTTGCTTATAACAAATATTCTTAGAGTTTCCAGAGCAGAAACACAACTAAAATGGTACAAGGAAGGTTGAGGCATTGGGCATAAATCAGAAGAAGCAAGCAGGATTTCCTAAGGCAGATCTGGGGATTTCACCAACTCTAATTCATGGACTCATCACCTTCATGAAGAGAAAGAGGAGAAAAAGTATCATAGCTTTCTGTGCCTATTTTTTGCTTCCACTGAATTCCCCGGACAGAAAATCTCAAGAAGGAAGGAAAAAGAACCAGAGAAAAACACCTCTTGTGGGATTCCGGAAGATCCATGAGCCCCATCCAATTTTTGTTTATTTTCTAATTTATTTTAAATATATGGCTCTCATTTCCTTTCCTGGTCAAGTTAAGAAAGAGGTAAGACAATCACAAGTTACTCCCTTTCTCTTAGTAAACAGCTTTCCCTATGGAAGACATAGCCCTACCCACCATAGTCACTTCATATTCACTCCAAATTAGGAAAAAAAATAAAGGTCACAATACACTCACATCAAAAAGGACAAGAGTCTAAAAGAATAAAATAATTTGGCTGGTGGGAAAGTAGCTAGGCTGTGACCACCCGACTTGCTTTGGCAGAGAGGGGAGTGTTTTTCCTCTGGGTGCCAAGTGAGTGGACCACCGTCACGTGCAGCGCGTCGCTGCAGCCTAACCTTTGAATGCTGCTTACGCTCTTTTGTTCAGCATGGCGTTTTCTCCTCAGCCTCTGCACTAAACAGTTCCAGTTCTTTGGCATCGGTGTTTCCATTTGCGAAAATTGTGTAACTCTATCTAAAGGCTGTCTTTCCAAGGCTTTGTCTTGCTGTGTGGTGAAAGGATAAAAGAAAATTCACATCAGGAAGCCCCCCCCCCAAAAAAAAGTCTTTAGAATCAACAGGCTCAAGTGAAAATAGCCTTCAGGGTGAGCTTGCACGAGAGTCGATTTTATGAAACAGCACAGAGCTTTTTTGTGTGTTCATAACTCCACCACAGACAGGTGTGCCCTGACCTTGTCATTGGGAGGCCCTGATATATGCTCCCAGATACTCAGTGGTACCATAGACTGGTACTTCCAAGGACTATGTAAGGAAAGAGATTGTGTTACTGTTAACTATTTGCAAGTCTGTTTTATAGAAAATTACAGTTTTCACTATAATTCTATAGATAGATACATGTCCTTGAATCACTAGAAATCTGAGAAGAGGCCTCTTTTTTGACTTGGAAATCAAAAGCTTCTCCCTGGGGGGAGTGTTGAATTCACAAACTCGATGCAAGTTATAATTCATCACTATACAGATACAATGTCCGGACATGGAGCCCTCTTTGAGAACTGGCAATTCCCATATGCAGTAGCTTCTGTTTCCTAAATTGAATCTCTCATTCCATTGTATCGTTTTGACCACAGGTATGTTTTCGTTGAATTGATTGGTTAGGATGTGTAAGGACTAAGCAGTAGAATGAATGCTGCTAGTGATCCCTAAGTACTTTTTCTCCTTTGTGTGGGTTATTCAGACCAGCTGCTTCTCCTTTCTTAATTTATTGCCTTGAAACCATTTTGTTGTTGGCATGTTTGCAGAGAAAATAAAAAAGGTATAACTATAGAATCACTTTGTAATTCATTAAACTTAAGTTTGATGGTGAAGGAAGTGAGGGATGCCTGGGTGGCTCAGTCGGTTAAGCGACTGCCTTCAGCTCAGGTCATGATCCCGGGGTCCTGGGATCGGGTCCCGCTTCGGGCTCCTTGCACAGTGGGGAGTCTACTTCCCCCTCTGCTTATTGCTCCCCCAGCTTGTGTGTGCGCTCTCTTTCTCTCTCTGTCTCTGTGACAAATAAATAAATAAAATCCTTTAAAAAATGGTAAAGGAAGTGAAAATAGGGAGCTAACACAAGCTCTTACTATCTATCAGTTCCAAACATCTATATTCTTGTACAATTTGAAGGGAAGTTAATGGAATTTAGTGATTTTGCTATGAGTCTTCTTGATA